ATTTTGTAGTGAATATATATAGATAGATAGTTATAGACACACATATAAATATGCTAATGAATGTTATGTCGAAACTCTAAATTGAGTTGTTTTTATAAATACCTATGCAAAGTACCTAAAGGAAATGTCACACATTATCTTGGAGGTAATCATGAAGGAAAAGTTTTGTACCTATATGTCAGATGGTGTCATGCTTTGCATGACATCAGTCTTTCACATATTGGAATATTTTTGTATTCAATTTCTAGATTACACATATTAAAAATATATATACATCATTGGAGAGTATCATTGAGAGTAAATAAATTTGAACATGGTCACGTTTCCTGGTTCTGATATTTGCGTGTATGCTTTACTTTGAGGAACTGTTCTTTATGGACTACAAATTACCTTTGATTGTTCCAGTCATTACTGTTTTCTTTTTCTGCTTCCTGATTATCCCATGCTCTACCTGAAATGTAGACATAGAAATGTAAGGAAAAAAAAAAAAGAAATGTAAGGGAACATTAAATTACTGCATAAAAATGAATAGATTTCAGGACTAGGAATACAGTCCAAGTGGTACAGTGCGTGTCTGGCAAGTGCTAGGGTCTGAGTTAAATAAATGGTTCCAGTTAGATTCATCCTATAATGCAAGTAGGCCTGAGATATTCTTTAAAAATGTTTACATGTTCTATTGAAGAAAACTGCACTGATGAGCAAGGATGTGTTCTGACTGTATACATGAGAAAGTGATGTCCTCCTTACCTACATCAGCCATGTTCCTAAACGTTTCTTTCATCACATCTCTGTAGAGCACTTTTTGCGATGGATCAAGCACAGCCCACTCCTCCATGGTGAAGTTCACAGCCACATCCTCGAAGGTCACTGCCTCCTAAAAAGCACACATATGTTTCTTGCATTAAGATTTAGACTCACACCTGGGATCATTCAACTTCTCTCATTAAATGTTGAATACAAAGACTGGTGTGGTCATGCATGTCTGTAATCCTAGTACTCAGGAGGCTGAGACAGGAAGATTACGAGGATTTTGAAACTATTGCAGGCTACAAAGTGAGTTCATGTCAACCTGAACTTCATAGCTATACCGTCTGAAAAACAAAAGAAAATAAAAACCTGTATGGTTACCAGAATCCGTCTTCACAGAGTGAAATTTTATATCTGTCTCAATCCTGAGCCAAAACAAAAACAAATTACCATACCCAGTTGAAGATTGACCTTTGCATTTTCTTAGTTGTTCTTGTGAATTCTTGTGTATTGCCTGCTGAGCACTAAGCAATTTTCCAACAAAAATGGTGCAACCAAAGTCAATTTCCCAGGATGGCCAGACAGCTCAGTGGATTAAAGTGCCCACTTAGGCAGATGCAAAGGGTGGTCGGTCAACCCCAGGCCTGCCGAGCAGGCCCTGACCCCAGGGCTCGCTGACATGGCCACTGACACTGGGTATGGTGGCACGGGTCTGTAATCCCAGTGCTTCAGAGGCTGAAAAACAGAAAAGATCACTACAATTCCGATCTCTGTAGTGACACCTTGTAAACCCTGTGGATCCCATACTAAACACACACACACACACACACACACACACACACACACAAAGTCAATGTCCTATCTAGAGAGAACAAAACTGACAAGCTCAGAGTGCATCTCTACTACACTGCCTCAAGTGAAGATTGGTGTGCACAGCAAGTAATACTACTGTTCATTAATCTGAGGTGGAACGCTGAGTCACACCATTACCAGAAATAAGTAAAATCCCCCAAGAGGCTTACAAAAGGCACAGTGATTTCTACTGCCTGAAAAAGTAGTTTAGGTTCTTCTATTAAATAAAAATCTAATATATACATAATTAAATTGAAATACAGACACTTATCTAGGGGAAGAAAGTTCAAGGGTGTCATTCAGGATGGCATTCAAAGAAGAAAAATGATATAACATTTGTGACATAAAAATAACTGACAAGGGGGCCAGGGAGTTAGCTCAGTAGAATAAGTGCTTGTCTGGCAAGTGCAAGGGCCTGAGTTCAATCCCCGGTTCCGCAAAAAAAAAAAAACAAAAAAAAACCTGATGATTTTTTTCCCCACCCAGCACTATATTCAGCATATAGCTGTGATCACCTGTAATCCTATCACTCTGGGAGGCTGGGAAAAGAGAACAACAGCATAAAGCTCAGGTAAGTGAGACACAATATCAAACTTCCAAATACTGATACCTAAAACTATAAATGGCCCGGATGCTTCTCACAGTGAAGTTCATGGAACAAATCTTTACTATCACAAAACATATCCTGTAATCTTTTGTATTCCTCTGTAGCACTCTCCTCAATAAATGCAGATAATGTTGCCTGCTATGCAGCTCAGACTCATAATGATCCTCCGATTTTCAGGCTCCACTGCTCTGGGATTACAGGTGTGTGTCACCAAGTGGCTGGCTTGGCACAGCCAGGGCGGGGCCTGCGCACCATGTGGTGCTGCAGAATGAATCCAGGTCCTCGTACTTGCCAACCAGATGCTTAGACCACTAAGCTATGTCTCCGGAGTTGCTGAGCCAACTTCCAAGCTACCAACAGAGATACAATTTCCAATTGGGTCACAAACATGATTAGGAACCCCATTCTATTCCTTGTCATGGACATGCTTGCTGAACTACACCGGACACTGACCATCAGCTACAATTTTGCTCTTATTCTTTGTTTGTTTGTTTGT